GCTTGTAGAGTGGGACCGGGTTAGTAGGAGAAGGACTCGACGAGTCGGTGCCATGACTCGGCGAGTCCAGTCAACTGGAAGTTGACCTTGACCAAGGAGTTGACCTTGGACCAAGGGTGGGTCAGTCATCTGACCTAAGGGTGTGTATGAAAGGCTAATATATGTTTATGATTTATAGCCGGAGGATTTACGATTTGGGAGTCAGGCGCTTAGCAAACAGACTTCAACAGCTACTTTCGAGGTGAGTTACCTTCCAGTAGCGGTGGGTCTATGGCCACAATGTCGGCCCACCAGTAGGAGTTGTATGTTAGATGATTGTCTCTGTGATATTCATCTAGGGTTGCTACTACCTGTGATATGTTTATGTGCTAGTATGATATGATGCTATGTGCTAGTGACAGTAGGGGGAGATAGTCCCCAGATTACTGGTCGATAGGGCCGAAGGGGCGGTCATGCCCAGCCTTGCTAGATAGATTATGTGATATGTGTTTTGTGGTAGTAGTAGGGAGTGAAATAGTCCCCAGCATCTGGTCGAGAGGACCGAAAGGGAGACCAGCACCTAGATATGCTAGTCAGTATTTGGTCGAGAGTACCGAAGGGGAGGCCAGCACCCAGATATGCTAGTGAGTATCCGGTCGAGAGGACCGAAGAGGTAGGTCGGGCTCCTAGATATGCCTGACAATATATGTATGTTATGTGGTTATATGGTATGTGGTACTGTGGGAGAACTCACTAAGCTTCGTGCTTACGGTTTTCAGTTGTTGTTTCAGGTACCTCTTCTGTCAAAGGGAAGGAGTTGGCACGGTAGCGACGCATCACACACACTCTTTTGATTTCCACACCAAGAGTCATTCTGGGATTTTGTACTCTGGCATTTTCATGTTTTATGTTTTGGTCTACGGCCACGTGACATGTTTTATTAAATATTATGATCGTATGATGTTTTGTTACAAACGCTTGTCCAAATCGCTTACTTAAAAATGAAATTTTTGGCCCGTATTTTTGGGATGTTACAGTTCCAAGGCGAGTTCGCGGCGGCGAATGCAATTATTGACGCATTATGTGGTCATCTGTCTCGGTTAGAAGGCGGTGTGAGTACGAGTTAGTATTTGATGATGAAAGTGCAACATCATGAAATTCCAAAAGAGGATCCCAACGATAAAAATAGAAAGCAATGTGTTGATGCAGTTGACAATGATTTTACCAGACTTAATTCACCTTACAAGTGAGATAAAGATAACTGATACACGTAACAATGATTATACTTTAACTCTTTTTTCTTAAACCCTAATTGATGAATCAACCTATTTTAATGGATGTTAAGTTTTGCTCAGTTGTACACTCTCTTAAATTCGCATCAGAAGAACAATGAGGATATTTTTTTTTATACTTTAAGCTTTTGATTCTCTATTATTTATATATGTGTGCACAAAAGGTGTTAGTGGAAATGCCTGAAAGAGAATTTTTACCATGTTGTATGTATTCTATCAAAACTCTCTGTCAAAACTCTCAAAATGTTTATTATTCTGTGACAATTAGATTTCAATCTTCTTATTTGTCAAGATAGGGAAAGTAAAAAACATTGTTAGATAGGAAAATTAAAAAACATTCCCGTAGAGTATGTTATCATTCTATATGTTATTGTTTCCGGTAGAATATGTTACAAATTCTTTAAGAATATTTAAAACCATTCTGCAAGAATAGTTTATTCTGTAAGAATAATTATTGTTGTATTCTATTAGAATGCATTGAATTGTTTAATTTTTGAAACTTGATTATCTTTTCTTTGTGGATTTAGGTTTTGAAGATGCTAACATTGATGCGGAGAAGGAAGAAACATATAGAACGAGAGTGTATTATACCAAAATGTGTTATGCTACAATGTATAAAGTGTTGTTTAAAAATAATATTCTTTCAGAATAGATTAGTGTTTTTGTTAGATTTTGATCTTTTTTTTATTTTTTCTTTCAGAATGTTGTTATTATTCAATAAATCACAATCATACAACGTAATTATTTGTTATATTATTAGTTCAAGAATTGATTTGTGTATTCTTTTTTAATGTATTTACTAGTTTATGGTTGGCATTATGCCATTCTCACATAATAAAATCGAAAAGTATATTTACTAGTTTATGATTGACATTCTATCATTCTGACAGAATAAAATCGGATCTTTAAATTTGAATTAATATAAACTATTCAGATTTTCAAAAAATAAAGGAATTAATCATCCCTAAAAATCCAAAAATTTCTTTTTTTAATATAGGTTAATTGACTAAAACGCCCTTATGCTGAAATTTGTATGATTATACGGTACATGTTATCATATTCTACTGTTATAGACCCTCAGATCATGACCTTTGATTATATTTCATCCGATTCGATGGTCCATATCTGTACATTGTGGCACACAATAGTTAGTAAAAACAAAATAGCCTAACCCTATATATATATATATATATATATATATATATATATATATATATATATATATATATATATATATATATATATAACATCACTATCGACTTTAAAGAAACTACATGATGCTCCCAAAAGAAAAAGAATATGGTTGCCTGATGTGAGGTTTTCTTAATGCTTTAGTGCATAAATACAATTTTGGGTGCTTCTAAGGTTTATTTTAGTCTTAAATATATATATATATATATATATATATATATATATATATATATATATATATATATATATATATATATATAATTTAGGAATTAGGCTTAACCTGCTGCTATAAATGTCATTGTCTTTTTCAAGATGCTAATTGCAGGTATGACAAAGCCTAAAAAACTCTCACATAACAGTTTTGGACTAGGCTTGGTCAATCCCCCATTGTTTATCATCTTTTTTTTTCTTTTTTTTGTTTAGACTTAGTGAGATTTTGATTTTTTTTTAGTGATAAAGAGAGAGAGATCAACGAACGACACTTATGACATGGAGAAACGCACTTTGACGACAACTGAAAAAGCAACTTCGTGTTGTTTGTATTTAAGATTCAAAAATATCTCTTTCTTGTTATTAAATAATTATAAAATTGATTCAAGGGTATGAATTTTGATTGTCAATATATATATATTTTTTTTTGAACGGAAGTATAAAAAATTTCAGTGGAAGTGTCATGCCCTTTAATCAGTATTAATGGGTTCAAAAAAATTAATCATTTTTGGTTTTTTATATTTTATAAAACAAAAATCAAGTTCATATTTTGTTTTATCAACCGGCGTATTTAGCAACGAGTGTTTGCAAACTTTAAAAAAGAAAAGCTCGATTTAAACAAAAAAATTTGTTTAGGAGTATGAGTGTTTAACTTTTAATTTAAATAAAATACTTCAAATTTAGAAGTTACTTTATGTAGCATTTTAAAGAAAGTTATTCATAGTTTGAAATTTTAATCAAACGACAGATTTACCGACTACTAGTTACCATGTACCTACCAGTTACCAGCATGTATCTACCAGTTACCAGCTACTAGTCACTGACTACCAACTAGTTTTGCTAAACACGTTCTATTTGTCTTTTGTTTAATCATAATATCATATCATGTATAGTAAATGACATCATTTTTATTTGCATGTGACACAAGTGGCATAAAAGAGCTGTAAAAAAAACCAGAGTGCTTTCCCCACGTTGGACACGATGGAGTTACTCGCTTCTGTTGTGATAGTGCTACTTTATTACGTCGGTGTTATCCTAAAGTTAGTGAATGTGAAAGGGTGTGCACATCTCAAGAATGATCCACATGACTTCGGTATGAAATTTAGTAAAAGTAAAAAAAAAAATATGAATGCTAAATACAATAAGAGCAATATAATTTATAACCAGTCTTTTGATGTTTTAACTATATCGATGCAATCGCTATTGCTATGAACTCATGTTAAAAGCATTGTTCGAATGTGGAGTAAAATTAGGAAAAGCAAAGGGAATTATACATACATAATAACCTACTTACATATGTACATAGTATTGGAACTAATAACCAATATATAAACAAATTGCTATATCATAAACTACGTGTATGACTATAAGGTCAAACAAATTAACAAAATTGTTTATTTGGTCAAAGCAATTAAATAAATTAGTTATTTAATATTTTGAATAAAAAGTTTATATTTAAATAAATCGTATATTAATTAAGGTAATTAATATGCCTGGCTTACCTTATCGATTGTTGAAAAAAAAGGCTTTAGCAGCCTTGCTCGATATTAACATCTAGTTCCCAAGTTTAAACAAAGAAAATAAAAGAAGCGGAAAAAAAAAAGCAAGGAGAGAAAAAAAGAAAAAGGGAAATAAAGGAAAAGAAAAGAAAATTTTCTTTTGTGTTCCCGAGTTGTAGAAAAATAGAAGGAAAGTTAATTATTTTGTTCTTTCTTCCCATTAAATTCAATTACCCCACTTCCTTCCATTTTCATCCTTTAATGAAACCTAAAAACACCAATTTCTTTTACTTTCTTCTCATTTCCACTCATTTTCTTTCTTTCCTTCCTTAAGCTGAACTCGGGAATGTGGTGTAAGTGAATTGAAAGGGAAGATTATAACCAATAAGAAAAAAGAAGGAACATACCACCAAAGCCTAATTCTTCGCTCCATATCAAGATTAGCGATTCGTTTCTCTCCCCTTTCACGATCGAGCAACACAATGACCAAAAGAAGGTCAAGTAGACTTTGATCAAGTTGATTGTTTAGCAGCTACCATGAATTAGCTCGTATGGATGCCCATAGTAACAATCATTTTGATTTTTGTCTCTGACATCAAAGGACCTAGGTTTCAAAGTTATATTTATTAGAACACATTATGGTTGTGTTTTAGTTTATCTTATTTGTCTAACTGGATAAGTGCTTCTGGTTTATAAAATTTTGAAATGATGTTTTTTTTTAAATAAATTACACAAATCATCCCTCTTGTAGGTGTGAGCCTAGCCATTGATTCTAACCCTACCCCTCTGATTTGGCAATCGTTGGAACCTATCTGGAGAAACAAAAGCCAAGTTGAAATGCTTCAATGATGGCAGATGTCTTAGGAGTTCAAGTAAATTATGATGGTTGCACAAACCTCGCCGGAGCAATTGATCGTGATTTCCCCACCGACATAAAGCTTGGAAACAGTAAAGAAGATGAAGTGGTTGAGCTACCTCCAAAGAACAATGTATACATATTTTCTGACTCATTTATCTTTTCGCTTTCTATTATCGATAAATAATGATGAATCGCCAGAAAAAATCAAGAATGACATGTGATAAGATCGACCATATGAGCACAAATGAGTAAATCAGTTACCACCAATCCTCCGGCAGATTGTGGAGAAATGTAAACCAGCAAATTAAGGTTTTATATCCTTAAAATGTATGGAAGAAATGGAAACTTGCAAATCGATGGAAGGCCCATCTGACTCAGTTTCAACCTCCATAAATCGAAAAATGATGCAGATGTTCTTATCGTTAATGATTGGTCTTCCACATCGCCGACCAAATACATCCATCGAACTGTGGTTAAATATCCAGGTGAAAACCACACACAAAACTTTTGATTCTTATTATTATTTGTTTCCGATTCTCCCTTCTCTCATTGGAAACTGATTTGCAGGTTTAATTTTCCCCTAATCCTTGCTCAAGCAAGGTCGATTCATCATCAATTACCTCCGAAAGCCACTTCCTGTTGGTTGTCTGATCATCTAGAGAATAATTTCAATACCCCCTCCACACACACACAAAAAAAATGATACCTTGATCTTCATCTGGTGTTTGTTTGGAATTATCGGTGTTTGTTTGGAATTATTGGGTTTCTGATTTGCTTTTGGGTATTTGATCTTCTTCTAGGTTTTCTTAGTTAATAAATAGCAGTGGAAGACAAGTGAGCTTTGGAATCGATCGTATGATGAAGAGAACGAGTTTCAAATTTATAGCCAACGATTTTATGGCTGGTATGTGTGTGTGTGTGAAAGAGAGAGAGAGAGAGAGAGAGAGAGAGAGAGAGAGGGGTGGGACCCTTTCCATATTAAATTTTATTTTTTTTCCTTTCTTTAAAAAAAATAAGAGAAAACTTCATAAATGGTCCTTAGGGTAGGGAAATGATGAAAAATGTCGTTTATTTAACGGACAAAAGATGACGGAGTGAGGCTTAAGGACCAAACGTAAAAAGTTTTGAAACCACAGGGACCATTTATGAAGTTTTGTCTTTATTTTTCAATTAATATAATATTATTTATTATTATTTATAATTTTAAAAAGGAAATGGGCCCACTCCCATCCACCCTACCCCTACCCCACCTTAGTAACCTCACCCCGCCACCCTATTTTCTCTTGAAGTTCGAAGGTGAACATCTCTCCTCCTTCGTGTCTTTTTTCATCTATCTACGCAAAACCCGACATCGTTTTTGGTGGTTGTTGGAGAGATTGAGTATGGATTATAGATCCAATTACCAATCTCTCATTTTTTGGGATTTGATTTTAGAATTTCTTAATCAGTCCACCATAATAGACCCATAATCGAACATAGAAATCAAACGCGGAATTAAACCACCAACAAACCTGTAAATCAAACCCACAATCTTCATACAATCGACCACCACAATAATCAGTCCTCCATCACAAACCTCATGAGGTAATCTTCATCTAATGGTTTTGAAAACCTGTAAAGATCGAACTTTCCAAAATGGTTCTTGAAAAAAACATAGAAAATCAAAAGTCACCCACTTGTCGACTTCTTCAAACCAATTTCTTCATCTTTATGTTCAAGAACTTGTATCAAGTCGACTAAAAGATTTAGGGTTCTTGAGTTGTCTTCACATATCTGGAATTTTGCAACACTTTTACAACTCTTAAAGAAGAGGATTTGAATCTGATATGGATCGGATGGTATAACATCCTCACGAAGGCGGTAGAATCATCGCCAATTCTCAAGTTTTCAACCTTAATTATTGTCACACCCCAAAACCGGAACGGAGGAAACATTTGGGGGTGGAGGACGTCATATTTAGTATCACAAGACACGCATCATAGTAATCAAAGTAATGAACAACCATTCCATAAGAAATAAAGTGTTTACAACGTGTGTTCACAAAACATAGAATACATATGTAAATAACAAAGCAAGACTTGAAGCTATACTGCTCCATCTTCTGAATTCCCAGCGCGAGTACATGTCTACTAGTCTCCTGAGCATACAAGTTATTTTGAAAGATTTGATTAAAAATTAAGCTGGTGAGTTCATAAGATTTTAGTGATGTAAGTAAGTTGTGAGAATGTTTAGTAAGTTGTAGTATGTTGTAAGTTTTGTTTAGAAAAGTTCGCCTGTTCCTTCAGAAAATCCTATATTTCCTACTTTGATGAAAGATAAGTAAAAATGACTCTACAATCCTTTCTATGAGTACTAAGTGGATACAAGTTATATAGAACGACGATCTAACAAACAATGGGAATCATAAGGTTAACATTATGGTCCCTTTCTATTGATGTACTAGACTATACTGTTTTGTTTGTCGTTTGTAAAATGTAAGTTTTCCCTAGTTTATAACTATCTTAACTCGAAAATAGTTTGCATTAACTTTCAAGTGGAACTGTCACAATATGAAAGTAATGGGGAAAGTAAGTACTCACGGGTCTTTTGAATTGACAACTTGCAGTACTGGTTACGTTAAAACATGTCTGTTTTATCAAGGTCAAAATGTGAAGGCTAGTTCCCGTACTAAACGTTCTCCCTGTCAAAAGATTCTGGGAACCAAACGCGACTTTTAGCAAACTGGTTACTAGGCCGTGTAATCCACATTAAAGTTATATGATCATGTATACCCAATTTATTATCACCTTTTGTTTAGAACAATGCGTTAGTGATCATTGGTATAGTTCGATCATGTAGTTTTTCTCATGCTATAGCATCTTAGTATGTTCGTTCTATTTGAGTATCTTAGTATGTTCCTTCTGTTATCATGTATAGTGTACAGTATGTCTCTCTGATGTATTGTACCTACTTCCCTATTTCTCTTTATAGTATGCTCAAGTATCCAGTATGAACTGAACCTCTAAACTACACCCCTTATAGTTTACTAGTATTGTACTTGAACTGTTATTGAAAAGACTCATTTTACTACTAAGTTATGCTTGTACTTTAAAAATGGAGTTTTGTTAAACTATAAAGTAACATAACTTTAAAAGAGTTTTGAAATGTTTTGATCACTTATAAAAGACATAAGCAATCTTTTGAAAGATGTTTCTAACAAACATTTACACAATGATCATTGTGTTCAACTTGTATTCCCCCTGAAAGCATTTAAAACAATTAAAAGATTCGTTACGGGGTATGAACTCACCTGATGTGGGCGATTCAAACAACTATGTGTAAGGATGAGAAGTTCCACGAATGAAGTTCTGAGTCACAAACGAGTCCTAACTGACATATAATGGCATATATTGGCATGAATTTAGTGTTTAAAAGCAACTAACATGCAAGGAAACAACCTTAGGGACAAGGAAACACTTGAAATGAAGTGTTGAATCACATGTGATTGACAAAAAGGGAGTTTACGGCCACTGAGTTCACGGTCATAGAGTTTACGGTCCTAGAGGTTTACGGTCTAGTGTGTTTACAGTCTAGGGTGTTTACAGTCAAGGAGTTTACAAACTGTAAAATCATGCAAAACGGTTGTTTCGTGGTGCATATTCAAAGTTTCTAAGGTATATGGAAGGATACTTACAATTTGGAAGTTTGAAGAGGAGTTCACGGCCCAAGAACCACTATGTGTTCTTGGTGATCTTGAAGATCAAACCCAAAATCAAAGTTAGTGGATGAAATCAAATGGTGAATCAAGAAGAAAAGATGTATGAACTCATAGAATAAAAGGAATTACTTACATTTTCGAGGATTTGAGGGATGATCCTTTGATACTTGAGAGAGAAATTGAGTTTCTAGAGTTGTAATAAAGGGAAGAAATTATCATAATATATATATATATATATATATATATATATATATACATATATATATATATATATATATGAGGGAGTTTACGGTCACCCTGACCGTAAACTCCTCATGAAGAGGTTTACGGTTTGCTGGATGGCTTAGAACTTCCGCTCATACTTCCAAACACTTATTCCATGAGTGTACTAGGCTAAAACTCCTTAGAATGACCTTTAACAAGGCTAGAACTCATTAGAAGTGAGTCTGACATTCGGTTGAGTTGATTAACTGAGCTTTCAAAGCAAAAAAAAAAATCGGGTTGTCACAGTTATGTAACAACTAGTAAAAATAGGTCAAAGTTCGGCATTCAAACCACCGCGAACCTTTACGTGTTAAAAACCAGTTGTGTAAAATCTTGTGGTTATAATGTATATTAGAAATATTAAATTCGTAATTACCTTGCAAATGTCTCAAACTGCTCAAAACATTTATCGTTGAGAATCGAATAAAAAATCAACAAAAATTAAATTCATTGGTGACGTTAAAAATGAATTGTTGCATTAAGTATATCTGAGAATTATGAATAAGAAATTCAAATAGATTACGTTCCCCTGACTTCGTGGATATAAAGAACGTCCAAAACGGAGGTCGTATGAAAAAGTTATGAATATTTAAAGTTATAAAAATCAGTATTTTATCTAATTTTCTTGAAACAAAACGTGCACTGTTTCGTTTGGAATAGCTACGAGTCTCCTAAATAGTTTTTGAGCACGTTTTTGAATTCAAACTACGGTCTATTATTTTATACTATATTTATAATATTTTTAAACTCAACCGAAATCCGATTGATAAAATATGTCGAAACCGATCCTATAAATCGCAAAACTTTAAACGGATTTTACCGAAGATCTACGTATTGGATTCAAGACCCGTCTAACTTTTTGGAAACTTTATAAACGAGATTATTATTTGTCAATTTGAGAAACTTATTTGATTTCGTGACCCAAGGCACACGAATCGAAAAATTTAGAAAATATCATCGTTTTTTATATACAAATATGACATTGTCTTTTGATACTTTGAGTCAAGCATAATTGGAATAAACTCTCAACAATATAAGTATAGCCTCTACATTTATATTTTCTACCATGCACATTACTCAATAATATAAAAAATAATACAAAATACATACACAAATACATGATTATACATATACAAAATAAATGATTATACATATACAAATAAATGTAATATATACATTGATACATAGAATGATTGAATCAATACATTGATTCTAAATCTATC